ATAAAAAATTTAAAATTGTATTAATATATTAAAATAAAATAATTATTGATTAATTTCTTATATTGTAATTTTTAAAATTACATCTTCTTCAGTTATTTCATCAGATTTAAAAGAAATAATTATAATTTTTCTTTGGTAAACATTATTTAAATTGATTCTGATTTATAATTTTCTCTTTCTTTTCTTCTCTTGAATTTTATTTTATTTAAATTTTATTTTTAAAACTAATTTTCAGGATTTAAAAATAAAAAATTAAATATTAATTAAAAGTTATATATTAAATAAAAACATTATATACTAATTTTCATATCAAATAAGATTTAATTTTTTGTTTTCTTTTGTATGAAGGAAAATAAAATAAGTAAAAATTATAAGGTCTTATTTAAGTAAAAATAAATTATGTTTACTTTGAAAGATTAATTTATTTTAAATTATAAAAATAATTAATTATAGATTATTAGCAAATAAAAGAAACCATCAATAAAAATTTCATTTAATAGAAAAGCATTTAATTAAAGTTTTAAAACATTAGAATTAATTTTGAAGGTTAAAAAGAGTAATTCGAAACATTTTTAGAGGGAATTTGTTTACCAAAAAGCGTAAAATCTATAATAATTCATTTTAAATATAGAAATTTTAAATTTAGTAATTGTACTTAATAAATAAAATTTACAGTTTTAGAACTTTTATTGACATTATTAATAAAAATATACGGTAGATTAAATATGTCGATATTTCTTATTACTCACATAAATACTCGGAAAAAAGAAAAATAAGTTTATGTAAAAAAAATTTAAATTATAAAGTATAAGCGAACTTTTTATATAACGAATTAGCAAATAATAAAATATTAAAATATTTTAAATACTTAATTCAAAAATCGCGTTAATATAAATATTTAAAACACGAAATTTTAAATGATACAGAACAAATCTCAAATTCTGACTTATTCTTTGTATTTAGATAACACAGAAGAAATTTTCAAAGTACAGTCGAGATCTTTTAATAATAAATAAATAAATAAGAAATTGTGAAAGCTGTGCTAATATAAATGTTTAGAAAACAGGACGAAGCTTGTTGAAGCGGGGAGGAGAGTTGGTGTAATTGGCGCAGTCGCAGTGTCAGAGCACCTAGTGAATACCTTAACCAGTAGTAGTAGTAGTTGTGTGTGCGCAACCGTCAAAGTCAGTCCCGGGCAGACAATCCGAAATCCTTGCTATGGTTGGAATGGTGGCAATGTGACTGAACGGTAATCTGTTAGATGACTGCAGACAGATTGACCACAATGATTAGAGAGGAGGCTATACATACACGCCCGAAATCCGTCCGTTCTTCTTCAGCTAAAACGAGGGTACCTCCTGCAGTTGTTATCACCGATGATTCTGATACTCCCGTTCCAGTTACCGATATAGCGTGTAGCCTGTCCGATTCTATAAGCGCTCATAATGTAAAATGTGACGGAAACTCCTCTGCTAAATCACAGACTCTTGCTGACAACGATAATAAACCGAACGGCGTGTGTAGCATTCGTAGCAGCGGTGGTTTAGATATAGACATTGTGGCACAAAGTTCACCCGCCACCGAACTATTAGGTGAATCGAATCAATCTACAAATCAAGGTAAGATGGTTCCTCCTGCTCTTATATAACCGACATATTTACAATGTCACCCATCTGTCAGTTTCGGTTGGGAGTGTGCGTCTAGGTTGGCTCTGTAGATCGAACTGTCAGTTTCCTATACTCGTTAATAGCTTTGTTAATTGGTTTTTTTATGCTCTGATCGATATATTAGCTCGTGTAAAACTATAGTTAGATAATGACTCGGTTATAGATCGATTTGATTAGTATGGGTTCGGATATGGATCGGTAATGATAAATGACAGATCGCACACTGCAAATGTCAAAATGCGACAGTTTCTTACTGAACCCGAAACGTTTTACACGGTTTATATATTAAATTTTCATGTAGCAGTAAAGTTAATTCTAGATATTTAAGTAACGCTAAATCAACATATGGTTTTTTCGAATTATCTTACACTACCTATAAGAGAATGCGAGAAAGAATAAGAAAAAACTTATAAATCTATATTTAATATATTATTCCTTGTTTTTGTTATATTACTCAGAACAATTATTGCAATGTCGGATTTATTTTGAAGAAAAAACAAGTATAGTCAACTCTGTTCTAATGCTTTAAGGTTTTGTTTACGCTGAATACTCGAACTTTCGAATAACTTAATTTTTTCGCTGTCAAATGGTCTATTGTTTTAGCGGCTGCCGAATTCAATCGAATTAATTTATCATGAGACTACATCATAAAATTCAATAAAGTTTTTTATTTATTTATCTGCCATTATTTTCTAAGACAAAAACCATCAGTTCTATTGAAATATTAATCTGATACTGCAATATCTCTTAATTGTTTTGAGCAATATATACTTCACTTAACATTATCTTACTCGATAAATAAAGCAAACTATATATATATTTTGCCTTTAATTTATACTAAAATTCAATTCTGAAAGAACTGAACTTTAGTGCAATTGCAAATAAATTACATAGTTTAAGTATTCGCTTAATTATTTTGTTTTTTCTGTATATTTATATATATAATTGCATGATTTAATTCTTAAACACATTTTAAGATAATATATAAAATTATGTATATTATTATCATTATAATCAAAAGAGTATCTTAAATAAATTCAGATTGCTGTTATAAAGGCATTATTACTCTAAATAATTAAGTAATGTTATACCGAAATAGTTTTATACTTTTGATGATATAATCTATAAAATATTAATAAGAATAATAAAATATTAATAAAGAATAAAAGTGTTTTAAAACTTGCCAGAAAATTATATGCTTTAAAAAATCACGTTTTATATTCGAATTTATATAAGAAGTTTTAATGCATAAAAATTTATTTTGTAGTTGCTTGGTATAAAACATATTTATAGAAATATTGTATATTGTAATTTGTTTACATTCTGAATGTTAAAAGATCGATATTGACTAGAAGCCGTCAAAACCAAATGTGGTTGAAACACGATTCAATATTTTAGAATGCTAACATTTTGATTTTTGGGTTAAAAACTAGATAAAAATCAGTTATTTTACTTAATTTTAGTGAAATTTTCAGATTTTTCCATCTTATTATAGATATAGGAAGAAAAAGAAGAGCTAGATTGCAAATTTGGCAAGGAGACTTTGAACATCTTCCAATCTTTCGCATATCTTAGATCGATACTGTAAAAGTCAGTAACGACATTCTGACACGTTATCATCATCAACAGTCATTTCTTTCTCTGTTTTTATTCTTTTCATCACAAAATCCAAATTGTCAATAATGTGAAACGTTAAAAAATAATGCACACTTTTAAGGAAAGATTCTTAAACATTTGTTCATCACCATCATCATTATCACTTATTATCGATACTCAATAGTAAAATCTGTAATGTCTTCACACAAAAATAGAATAGTTTAACCGAAAAAAATATTTTTTGTAGAATAATTAAAAATTAATTATGTTAAATATACATTTTAAATTTGTTTAATACAAAGAATTTATTCCATCACAACTCATTGTCTTCAGCCAGATGTCTCGCTAACAATCTGGCTAATGTCCAATTTATAAACAAACAACGAATTTAATTAAACATTTTCGTTTCAATATGGTCTTACAAGTGCATTATATTTGACATATTTGTTTCGTTTTTTTCTGTAAATAATTTTTTTAAATAGAAAAATGTCATTTAGCGCTACTAACTACAGTTATCACGAACAATCATTGAGGAGGTTATTCTTTAATCATTTCACCCCTAAAGAGTTAAAAAAAATATGTAAAAATATTCATAAATATAGTAGACAGCTATTTGTTATAATGTCTTCTGATCAATTAAATCGTAACTCACAAATAACTTAAATATTTCAGTCGTAATATGTCAGAGAAATCGCTTTGTGATGTTTAATGATCCACAATAGTGTAATGGAATCTTCCATGTATTCAACTAATGCTGATGATAGATAAAATTGTTTTCTGAAAATGAGCAAATTATTAGTTTAATTTTGATATAGAAAATGCATTAAATGTAACATTTAACATTTAACATTTAATACTTTATTCGTCACTAAAGTTTAATTATTTAAAGGGAACAATATTTATGTATTTATTGTTTTTCCTATTTCTAAAAAAAATAGTAATATTTTACAGAGTAGAGTTTTACTATTTTAAATAATAGTATTAGATAATTCACATTGCTTAGAAAAATATTATAATAATTATTTTAAATATAGGTATACACTCTTTTGCTATCAGGAAAAATATGATGTACAGGGGCAAGACACTACTAATTTGAGATCGAGAGCATATATTTTAGATTAAATAAATTAAAAATATGATTAAAAATTTATTGTGACACAATAAATAATTGCTCGTTTATAATAAAATATATGTAGAATTTAAATGCAAATTTTATATCTAAACCTGTTTATTTTTTTTAATTTAAAGGTTTTAATTACTTTATTAAAATAATTTGAAGTTGATTTACATAATAATTGATGAATGAACTTAAAGATTTGATAGATTTCACTCAATAACCTTAAGTGTTTAGATAACATTTTTGCGTGTTATCTAGACGAATAGACTGAGAAAAATCATCTTCAATGTCAGCTGTTCTAAATCTCTGCATAAGAGGTTTTTACATAATTTTACATGTTAGAGTTTGTTTAAATATACAAAAAATTGAACTTTTTATATCGTTTTAAGGAGAATAACCTATTATTTAAGAATTATCTTATCGAAAATCGATAAAATAAGATAAATAAGCAAGAGTGCTGTATGTATTTTTAAGTAGGGCGTTTTTTATGCCTTTATTTTATGCCTTTCTCCGTGTTTATAGTATATTCAGCCACGAAAATGAATATAATTATAAACAGAATAAGAATATCTTGTTTAGAAATCTTTATAATATTTTTATTTATAATTTTTTATTCTTGTACAGTAAACATGGTTTGCTGAATAAACATGATTAATGATCAACATTTTAAAATGTGTTATTTTTTAAAATAATTTATCCTAAAATTAACTTTCGTTAAAACTAGAATTAAAGTTAAAACGTTTAATTCTCGTTTATTTAAAAGAATAAAAAGTTCTTTTCAAGAAATTAAATAAAAAAAAATAAACATAGTTTTTAGTTTTTATCGTAAAATTAAATTGAGAATTCTTTTTTTCACATATATATAAAAATATGTTTTTTTTTTTAATTTAAAATATTTATTTTAAAAATAATTTATTAGTTCATCCGAAAAATAAAACATTAAAAAAATCCCAATTATAATAAATTATTAAAATGCATTTTTATAAATAAAAAAAACTTCTATAGATCATTATTGTTTTTGGTTATTGTTCTTCTGAAAAGAAGAAATTGTTCTTTCTTTTAATAGAACCACTTCATTTTTGGAAGATTTATCTGGCTCTTGCAGCTGTCTCATAAAGACTTCTAGTTCTTGTTCAATATCACAATCTCTTCTGATATGCTACTTATTTCTTCTTCCAAACACATGTATTAGATATCCCATAGATCAGCGTTGCTATGTAAAAAAAATAATCAAATATAATTTTACAATCATCAAATTTTATATAATGAACCCTCAATTTAGCGCATAGAAACGAATAGAAACTTTTGTAAGCTTAAACTTTACGTCTACATAAAGTTAGTAATAAATTAATCGATATATAAATCTGACTTAATACAGTTTATTATTTAAATTGTCGTATGTAGGAACGATTGATTGAGACATTATTATTAATTGAGTTTGAATAATTATAGTAATATTAGGGGGACCAAATTAGAGCGTGCGAGTCTACATTCACCCTATACTACTGGGGATAAAGCCACTAATACACATGCATATATTGTATATGCATGTGTATTAGTGGGTTTGTCACGTTCAAATTTTCTTCTTTTACTTTGATTTTTTCTTAATTTNAATTTTTTTTTTTAATTTAAAATATTTATTTTAAAAATAATTTATTAGTTCATCCGAAAAATAAAACATTAAAAAAATCCCAATTATAATAAATTATTAAAATGCATTTTTATAAATAAAAAAAACTTCTATAGATCATTATTGTTTTTGGTTATTGTTCTTCTGAAAAGAAGAAATTGTTCTTTCTTTTAATAGAACCACTTCATTTTTGGAAGATTTATCTGGCTCTTGCAGCTGTCTCATAAAGACTTCTAGTTCTTGTTCAATATCAGAATCTCTTCTGATATGCTACTTATTTCTTCTTCCAAACACATGTATTAGATATCCCATAGATCAGCGTTGCTATGTAAAAAAAATAATCAAATATAATTTTACAATCATCAAATTTTATATAATGAACCCTCAATTTAGCGCATAGAAACGAATAGAAACTTTTGTAAGCTTAAACTTTACGTCTACATAAAGTTAGTAATAAATTAATCGATATATAAATCTGACTTAATACAGTTTATTATTTAAATTGTCGTATGTAGGAACGATTGATTGAGACATTATTATTAATTGAGTTTGAATAATTATAGTAATATTAGGGGGACCAAATTAGAGCGTGCGAGTCTACATTCACCC